AGTGTGTGATATAATTCAAACATTGTGGCCGCAGAAAATCAAAAATAAAATACAAAATCTAACAGAACAACATTGTTGCAAATCATTTTTAATTGATTTTAATCTTAACACCAGAAACCATAGACACAGTTAACATTTGCAAGCAGCCAAATAAAAAAAGTTACAAAAAATCGGAAATGATCTGCGGTAAGCCACCAGGTGGCGTTAGCGTCGATTTTTTTCGTCGTTTCTTCCAAAATGTGGTTGACATCAATCAACCGTGAGGTTTACGGTCTGAGAAGTAATGTCACGCTAACATGTGAGGGAAGAGAGAGAGAGGAAGGATGTCCTCTTGTGCAATATGGCTTCCATTAATGTTGTTAGTTTAGGTAGGTAATATCCATTAGGATGAAAACTTATTTTAAGTAGGTAACTTTTACTTGTTATATCAACATCCGACTTCGGTTGCGTGTGCAAGCATATTAACGTACCGAGGGTCCAGTCCGAAGCAGGAGATGGAACAGTTTTTAGTCAGTAAGAATCTAATAATTCCACCACCCCCTTTACCCAAACAAGTCAGTCACATCAGTCAGAGATATGGAAAAGGCAAGTGTGTTTAGATCTTTTGGATTGAGTTAAGTCTGACAAACACCACGTAGGGCGTAGTAGGAATGTACCAAACTCAATTTAAAAACACGTGCTGTTACGAAAGAATTTTTGAAAATACTTTAATTTCTTCTTGTCAATCGTTGCCCGGCTAAGATTCTAGGATTGTCTTGTAGGTATTTCGAGCAACGATTATTAAATAAAGCACAAAAACTTTCAACAAAACTTATCTGCATAATATTTGGAAGATATCAATTCTTTAACAAAATTACCATTCGCAACACTTCCTTTATATTCGAATGATCGAAAAATTTAAATAAGTATCAATAAACACCTTCGATTTCATTCATACCGTATCGATACGCATTCTCGATTCTAAAACATCGATTAAAAATATTTTATGCTTGAGATGCCTCATAAAATTAACACCTTATTTGAAATCGTTGCTATTCATTCCATTTTGAAAAACGGTGTTCCTTATTTGAATGTCTGTTTCTTATTTTGTATTTGTATACATAATTTAAAAAAATAACGGTAGATAGGTATATTAATGATGTTACCAGATAGATGAAAAATAGGGTTTTAAATTATTCCAGCTATAATGCGTAAATGTAAATTAAACGATGTAGACTTTTCCAAAGTGAAAATACGATTATAATCATGGACTTATTTTCCAACCCCACAACAGAGTAAAGAAACTGAAAAATCATACAAAATATCTGCACGTCGATTCTATAAAATTTCTTTTATTTTGAATCTTGTTCGAGTGCGAAGTGAGCGTCGAAGTGACGGGGTAATTAAATTTTAGAATGCCACTTTTAACGTCATCTCATACTTTATCTATCAAAATGTTGCTGTCAATTTAGTTCAACTCGCAAGTGTAGCGCTAGTGTACTACTACTCACAGCGGATTCAGATTCGAAGTTTAGAATGAAGTCTTACAGAATCACACCCCTGATTATGAGTCTGAAGTCACAAATCACTAGCCTGCAAACACTTAGAGCGGGTGATAAATGCCTTCTCAATATAAGAAGAGGCCTCTGCCCAGAAACGGGCACTTTTGTATGTAGCAGAACGGTTTTCCTGATGGTAAGCAATCATCGGAGGAGTTACGAGTGCGATGCCAAGCTTTTGGGGATTAGGTTATTTTGGTATTTTGGGATTGGGAAGTGGGAGGAATGGTAACCGCACTTACACGCCGAAACACAACGCAGTGGTTGTGTCACGCCGATTTTCTATAAGGCCATGGCATCACTCCGGTCGAGCCGACCCATTCGTGCCGAAGCATGGCTCTCCTACACTAAATGCTGCTTACAGCTGGTGATAATGGTGATGATATTATTCAGTATTTGACTACGGACCACCAATAGATGTCATGTCCCGTGTCCATCATTAAATACCCAGTGGTTATGACAAATGTCATTAAATTTACATCATCAATAAATAACCTTGATTATCGTCATCGTAGCATGAAGATGACCTTCAAACTAAAAAACGAAACTGACTTACTCACGTTTTTATTCATTAAATGCTTCTGTGTGTAATACCTATCCTAGTTGTTTGATCTCTTTACAGTTTTTTGTGACTATTTCGAACAGGAGATTCATTATATCTTAAATGTACGTATACGTTGTTTAAATATTAACTTGCTTTTGTCCGCGACTACGTTCGCGTGAAATAGTAAGTTCCTGCAGATTTTTGGTTTAAAAACTATCCTTTGTCCCTCTCGAGTTCCAAACTATGTCTGTACCAAATTTCACACAAATCGGTTCAGTAGTTTAGGCGTAAAGAAAAGACAGACAGACAGACGAGAGTTATTTTGGTATTTATATTAGTTTGGATGTATGAATAATTTTCCTTTTCAGTATGTTTAGCTTTCAGTTACAACCATTAATTTAACTAAGAAGTTTAAGAACAAACAGAAACTTAAGAAGAAATGTAAACAAAACGACTCCTCATCCCTAAACCACCAAAAGGCCAACTACGCACTTAAAAATCATCTGGTGTTTGTGACCACTGGGAGGACACTGTAGAACATACGGTGGGATTGGGCCGTGTTTAGGCTGAGCACTGCGGGCCTCAACCTAGAACAGGAGAAGGAACGGGGAGGTTTTTAGTCAGTAAGAATCTGACACTCCCTCTCGACCCCCTCCTGGGCGGGAGAAGTCATTCAATGATTTTCCCCTCACAAAAAAAGGGGGACTGATTGCTCACGGAACCATACAATCGCGTACCGTTTACTGACATAGTCTATAAAAAGTAATATCGAATTATGAATATATGTAGGTATATGAAAGACAGCTTCATTCAAGTGTAGGTCATATGGAAATATTCATTTTTTTTAAAAAGGGAACGTCACTACAGTACATCTACTTAACTGCCATAACTTTTTTATAAACTAAAATTTGTATTTAAAAAAACACTTACTAAAGTCATATAAAGTGTTGGTTATGGTATTTAAACATTTTACTGAGCGTGAATGCGCGTGCGCCGGTACCTCGACCTCAAAGCGATCGAACAAATCAGAGCACAACTCGATAATGCATTCTGATAACCTTGTCTAAGTCTCTTAGACTGCCAATAACTTGACGCACATCAAATCACATAAACATTTTCCTAGTTTATGTCAGGTAAGTAGCGGCTAGACAGTTTAATTCCCAGGTCTGGCAAATATACAATCCAGGCTCCTACCAGACTTCCTGGGATTGCGGGTCAAGCATAAATTGGTACAGCAGCGCCGGCCTGGTCAGCCGGGATTGCGAGGTATTCGAAATGAGGTACCGCGGCCTCAGCCCAGAGCAGGAGAAGGAACGGGGGGAGGGGTTTAGCCAGTAAGTTTCTAACACTCCCTACCGCAAGACATTGGGCGGAAGAAGTCGTTTGATATTTTTTTCCTCACAAAAAAAAACCTCGGCTTGAAGCAGGAAAAGAAAAGGAGTAGTTTTGAGTCAGTAAGGGTCTGACACTCCCTTACACATATGATTAATGATGAAAATAATTAACTAGGACAGCTTAAAACTACATACTACTCAAATTAATAATATAATATGTATTTGTAAAGCATAAATTATTTATAACAATATCTCACCTACATCTACAACTAAACAAATAAACAGTCATTTCCTGAAAATAGCTACCGTCGCCATTTTGCGCGGCGCAAGCGCATGTGTCTGAAGGTGAAGGTTATGCAAATGTAAGCATTCTCTTTTATTTACCCTCATACTCATCACATGGTGCAGTGTTAAAATGATTTGATACATTCACATCTATACCACTAGATATCGCTAGTAAATTATAAATGTCAAATGTGTGTAAATATTGTTTGACTTTGGCAAGTATCCAAACAACCCAATTCAAAGTTAAACTTGTTGAAATATCGATATATATAAGAGATACGTAAGCAACTGTGTTTTCAAAATAGTATAACCAATATAATAAATAGAGATTATCTAAAAAAAAGAAATCATTAAAAAGGTTTTTAAATTTAGATTTAAAAATTTTATTTACAATTTAGAATAATAATTACAAAAATATCTAAGTTAGATCCTCAATACAAAATACTCAAACCTACAATAACGGTTTGTCGAGATTTCACACTCCCTTGTATTCTATTTTTAAACGCACCTGCAGGGAAAGTATACTTTTTGTTGTTTATTAGAAAAACATTAACAGAACATCTGTTTCGAACGGAAACGCTTTTTGTGTTCACCGCAAACGAACGCCACTGATTTCCGTTATAAATAGGTCAATAAGTCACTAACGTTCCCTGAAAGTCTTATTTTATTTTTATCTCATAAAATAATGAAATAAAAACTCGTATTCTACACTAAAAGACGAATTTTGTTCACGAAATAAATCTTTTAATGTTCCCAATAATTAAATCTTTAATTTCCACTCGAAATAATACTTAAAGCATGTCGTTCTTATATCAATAACTTCCAAATAATTACTTTCAATAACAAGTAAAATTAAAATAAATTTTACATTTTCCGACAGTGACAAAATAATTTACAAAAAGAAAATCAATGAATCAAAATAATATTTTAAAATACAGATCCACCTTTTTATTCTCATAAAAACATTAAAACAGTGTCGTTGAAACGTAAACAAACAACCAAATCGAAGAAAATTCGTCGCTCTTTTAATTGTCCGCACGAAACAGACGGAAGCTAAACGCGGCAAACACAATTTTCCGTAACAAAACTCACGCGCACCGGAAAGTGCTTCATTTATTTCCCGCCATCCGGCGTCTCGACCAACCGAAATTTGGCGCCTAAAATTCTCCAAGCCAATGGAACAAATGGCCGCCATTTTCAACCAATCAGCGTCGAGCCCGCGCTCTCGCCATCGCGTCATTGTCATATCTCGAAAATTAGTACGGCGGCAGTGCAGTGAATGAATCCCGTCCGCAAATTGAAGAATTTTCCGTGAAACAACAAATAAATACTCATAGGTGAGTAGCTAATCAAAATTTCGATTCATACACATCAGATTTTTTCAAAATCATTCGTTATGTCACTCACATTTTAACGAAATGTCAAAATAATTTTCCAATTTATTGCCATTATTAAGTTGTGAAAGCGAATATTACTAATGATTATCATTTCGCTTCATTGTTATTACATAATAGTAACTGCCATTAATAAAATAATAATTAATTATAACCGTAGATGTCATCTTATTTTAGTTTCATTTGTCTAGATAAATCATACTAACAATCCAACACAAAAATCTAGTCAGTCGTGTTTCGGCAAAATGGCGGCGATGCTCTGTGCTATTAATACATTTTCCGTCCTTTTTATGATGGGCCACACTAATGCGCGTGCGAAAGAGACGGCTATACTTCTGATAAGCAGTATGAATTTATGCTGCACACGTTGGTAACTAGACACGTCTTCGTTCTTCGTAAACAAGTCAGTGGCCAGTGTTGCCATGTTAATGATTTTTGTACCCATAATTAGGGGAATAAAACAAATATTACACAAAAGAGAAAAATAAACACGGGACTATTATTTGCTTGTGACAAATAAAAATCATACACTAAAATAAATATTAATCAATCTTTAAATAACAAAACGACGTGCCGTCGGAATTTTATAGCTAATATTTAGTATTATTATGAACTTAACTTAGAAGACCGCAGACCGTGGTTATTATTTGTTACGTAAGTTTCATACTTACGTACAGTCAAATTTCAAATGTTTTCCTGAAACCAGGACACTAAGTTATTAATTCTTGACTTATTATAAATATAAATATTTTTACTATTTACCTAGTTTTATAAAGAATAAACAACATCATTTCAACATTTATTTTAAAATAAATCGATCCGATACCTATGCACCTTTTGTTGTACTTTAGAATTATTAATTAAAATAATCACCTCAACGCAAAAACTAAGATTTCATTTCATATGTTAAGAAAAAATAGAAAACGGTAGTTAATAGTTTCCAATAGCAAAACAAAAAATATTATTTTAATCACAAACTCAAAACAATATTTTATTACAACAAAATGGGAAGTGGAGTTAGGGAGTAAGCATACAGCAATATCACATCACTTGACTGAACGCGACACTAGCGCCATGCAGTGGTGAAAAGACGCAACATAAAGAGTCGCTTGCGCTGTGCTTGTGTTGTCCGATTCCGCCGCACGATCGCGTTGCGCCACCGCCACGCTATTCCCTGTGCCGCCGCGCCACCGCCGCCGCTGCCGTCCGCCAGTCGGCGTACGTAGTTTTGCCGTGCGGACGTATTACGTCACGTGCTTCGTCGCGTTACTCACGACTTGTTTACACACAGTAAACTAACAATACAAATTCTTATTGGTGCGTGATGAACCAAACACTTATACGCTTGTTAAATCAATACGATTGTATCGCGTGCTGTTACTGAATACTGACCTTGTTTGCGCTAGGTGAATACGGCGCGGATGCTATCTGTGAAGTGCGCTGTGTTTCGCTGTTCGGACTCTGTTGAAGAGATGTCGACGTTGAGTATGAGGGCGCCCGGTCTGCAGACCACCACGGTGCTGGACACGAGGACGCTTCGAATGCGAGGCGTCACGGCGCTCGAAGGCGTCAGAAGAAACTTGTTCGGTTCTACGGATCGAGAAGAAAACAGAAGATTTGTTGAGAGAGAGTTGGCTCGCCAACTGGAATTGGACAGTCAGAGATGGGGTTTTGATTTTGCCAATGAGAAACCTCTGCCAACTTCTCAGAGATTTGCTTGGCAACTTGTTCCCGCGTCCACCATCCCTGCAGCTCTCAGAAGGTCTCCGATTACGGTCACAACTCCTGCTGCGAGCAAACCGACGCAGGAGGCCAAAGTTTCCAGTCCCGACAACAGCAAGACACAGAAAAGAATAACAGGTAAGTTTAGTATAATGTATTAAAAATGTTTTTGTTGTTGACATAAGTGTCGAGGTTATAGTTACGTTTAGATTCACGCTGCGTAAACAATGCGTAGTATTTACGCTAAAAATGTCAACATTGGGTGTTTTTAATCTGTGAAATACGAGTAGTTCAGTCTAGTTGAACGGGCCTCATTCAAGACTAGTCACGCGTATACATACGTACCTAGTATAGTATACGCCATTAAAACATTACGAATACACATTCATTTCGTCTAGTGAACTTTAGTTAGACAACTCTGTTCGATTATTTTCGTGATACGAAATAACAGAGAACTTGTACCTACAACATTTTATCTTAGTATAGTCTTGAACTGTGCAATTAATCCTTTGTTATTGAAGTAATTACAGTGTAAACAACCTGTTATCGTTGCAACTGCAATTGTATGCGATTTCGGCGTATATTTATATGTGCCTAAAGTTGTTTATCTCGTGACGCAGCGATAACGAACCTAGGTCACTTTGATTTGACACTTTTATTTTTGGACTTTAAATAACTTGTTCCTATGCCATTCCTTGCCCGGAATGACAGTGTTGCAGTCACTTATAACTTTTACGACAATTTCAATAGTCACTAGATTTTTTGTCTATTATGTTTTAAATAAAATAGAAGTTCGAGTGAATCGATATTTACTTATTACCCATAAAAGTATTCATGTTAATTACCAATTAGAAATAAGTACCTTTTATTGTAGTAGTTCGAGTTTCATGTAATCACATTGTCTTGGAAAGAAGTAGGTACTCGATCAATCAATTTGCTTGTATATAGATACATAAGTATATTATATACTATACTACTATACAAACAGTAAATAAACTATTTACTACTACCATAACATTCCGAAACACCAAATCTTCCAGTTTCACAAAACATCAAACTAGTAACGTGATAAGGTATATTATAAAGTATGTAATATACGTTACCCTAAAAAAAAACACTCGAAACATTTTGTAGATTTTACTACGAATTACAAGTCATTTCCGAGAAGTTTAAATAACGAATATCTTCTAGATTCTAATTAATAAAATAATTAATAAAGTACTTACACAATTTTTACAACCACAAAAATAGTACACGCTACGCGTTATTTGAAGAAAAACATTGGATGAAAAATTTAAAACACGAACGCCTTTTTAAATTGCAACCGCAAATACATTGAAATTGTCGTTGCCATGTCCTTACAACTGTAGATAAATAATCTATCTATATATTAGACCATATAAAGGTGTGTACAATAAAGCTACTCGTACGGCATCATATTCATTATGTAACTGAATATGTATCACAGTTTGCAACAAGACACTAATTGGCCGTTCATAACACCTGGAACAAAATACAAGTATCGTTTTACTCTTATTAAAAAAGTCCACTTTAATACCACCTACTTAGTAGTAATTGGTTCTATCGTATTATTATTTTATTGATAAGCCTAATGATGCCAGACTTCGCGACCTATGACTTGAGATATTTGTAATTAAAATGTGTTTTAGATCCTTTAATTGCTTTGATGGCTGTTGTATGACGAAATATTATATCTAAAGTTTACGACTTCTAAGTGGGAGGCAAATATAAACGTGTGTAACCCAATAACACATTAACAAAACTATATTAGGAACGTTATAACGATATCTTAGTTGTAACCCCTTTTGTATTCGCACCCTTTAATTGGAGATCAAAGAATTGAAAGGAGACGTGCAAAAACTTATCCGCCGAAGGTGTTAAATGATTCATAAAGGGCCAAGAAAGCTTTCATTAAATAATTTGCAGACTCATAATTAAAAATTAAGACGCCCTAAAGGATTTCTAATGGACTTTTTTCTTAATTGAAGGGGACGTTTTAGTTTAAAGTTGGTTTAAGTACTTATTAAACTGTTTTTCTTATGTTATAAGAAACCGTAGTTTGGTACGTTATCGAAAAAAATAACAAAGGCATAACGGCACGTTTAGTTTAAATTATCGTACAGGCTCGAATACTGACCTAGATACGTTTGTTTTGATACTGAGCTCAGTGTTAATACGTAGTATGTGGCGAGCCTCCCACACTTGTCCTATTTTAGATCACACATGTGTTGTTACAAATTGTAAACAATAGTTTGATGTTCCATACAAACTTTATTCTTGGTCAGCTTTTATAAACTCTTCAATATTTTAAATTACAATTTCATCATACTGAGAATATTCCTTACAAAAAGTTTAACAAGTAAAACATAATTCTCTTGGCTTGCAACATCACCGCTGCTTCTATTACTTATACCGTAGCATTGAACAGAATATTGTTATTCAGAGGTAAATTGCTTTTTTTTCGTTGAATGTCAACATTGACGTTCTATTGTAATATACGATTACCTAACATATATTATTACACAATATGGTTACCACAATACAATGTTGTAGCGATTAGTGAAAGTATAGAAAAATAGGTAACCTAAATTTGTAGTTATATCAATGGTTTATAACCGTTGTCATTCAGAACACAAAAAGGCAATTTAGTTTACGAGTGCTTCAAGATATTATTAAATAGTAATTCAGGTTCTACTAGATAGTTAATGTTTCCTTGATAAAATACCACGCCACAACCACACACTTACATTAATTAAAATACATCATTTAGATCGTGTAAATAGCTACCTATGTAATGTAGGTTAAATAACTAAACACATATTTTAAACATTGCTTTTAATGAGCACGAACAGTTAATCCATCCAAATAAAAGCCACAATTGGTAATAGCTAGAAAAAAATAACATTCGAACGGTAGCGGTGAAAGTTTGAATTCGCTCTTTAACAATAATGTCAGTGTTGTCGATTTTCTTAAACAATACGTGGAGGGAAAGTTCTGAAATGACGTGAAAGATTTTCTTGTTCATACCGAGAGAGCGTAGCGACATGCAATACACATAATCTGCAGCTTACGTTTGTATGTAAGTATAGTAAACGGTATCCTTGTCGCACCCACACGAGGTGACGCGCTCGCGCGACGCGTCACCTCACTATCCATCCACGCATGCGCACACACGCTCACTCACTGATTGCAAAATGGCTGCCTTTATATTCAATCGAAATGAACATCTTATTTTGTTGTCTCTTAATTTAAATACTTACCACTTGATATTCTCAAGTGTCAATATATTTTAACGTCCATATTATCACGTTATTTTACAATATAAATTAATTGTGTTTATGTATTTATTTTAACAAACAAAAACTTTTGCAATCGTAAATTTGTTACGTATATTTGGAGCATCACTTGTAAACTTTTTTTTCTTTTTTTTGCGTTATACCTTACCCATTCATTGTTTGATTCGAGCCTTATGCTGTTTTCTTAGACAACAATACAAACTTAAACCTCAACACAAAAGAGCCTGAATAGGATCGCTTGTATTTTTTGTTCGTCTAGTAGCCGTGCAGCTTAACAATGTACCTGTTAACTCGGTAATCGGTAGCTCACTCAAACGACGTAACATAAAAACTTTATTCTTCTCCCTTATTGAATAGCCGCAAAAAATCCGATATACAAATTGGAAACATTGCTTGAATATTTTTTCAGTTCAACTTTAGTTTTACGTAGCGAAAAATCGGAGCGTTTTTAAACTCACGCGCACCGGTGTCCCGCATCGTCTATTTGACAACTTCTTTAACGTTCATGACCCGATTCTTTCGTAAGTGCACTATTAGATTTCACCAGATGCGCGTTCTAAGAATTCTCAAACGTTCAAACGTTATGAATTTTTATTGTCTGAAACTGACCAACCGTACCAACTTTGTAGGGGGCCTAGGGGACCGGGTCACCCAATTTTTACTTCCCTTACGTAATTACTACTTGGTTGTGTCGTTGAACTCCGATATGTTTTGGTTTATGGGAAAGTAAGTGGACGTAGCTGCAGGGATCCCATAATAATTGCATACTTCCCAATACAATGTTAGAAATAACTGCAACTGTATAGGGTTTCTTCAAATGTTGCATCCGGTCAAGACGTTCTTTGCATAGAATAATTATTTTATTTCTTTACTCTTTTACCCCTCACGCTTTTAACAAAACGAAATTATAGAGCAGCCAAATTATTTTTTCCAGTAAAATTTTGATAAGCTTATTAGAGAATAACTAAGCTTCCAATTAACGTCACGGTTAAGCAAACTTTGATTGAAATCTAATCAATTGCATCTTTGAAAACGCAGCACAAATTATCTACGGTTCATTTCTCTAGGCAAACAATCCTTAGTAAACATATACTAGAAATTCGAAAATTCAATTAATGAGTTTTAAGCAATCGCAGTGTCACCCCTGCAAACGGCACAGAATAAATCTGCATTGTGTTGTGATTGTCATAATGGCGGTGCAATAACGTCGGCGCGTGCGCACCGCACCGCCCTTTGTGTCGCACCCTCGCGGACAGTGACTCCGTAACGGTTATATTGATTTTTTAACTGACAGTTTCCCTTAGCGTTTGGCATTATTACTATTAGTAAGAAATTATTATTCGAAAATGTAGAGAGATGTTAAATTAAAAATTAATTTTATATTGGCATATGAAAATATTCATTGTTGAATAAACTATGAAGTTAACCAATAGTACACACAGTACTCCCAAACCAAGCATTAGTAATGGCTATTATACAAGGAACGATTTTTTTATTCAAACTGCAAAAATTAATCGGTCCAATTTATATAAATCGTCCCACTTCAAAAACCAACAAAAACAGAATTTGGGAGCTATAAACTATTGCGAAAACTGTACCATGCGGGCGATAAAAAAAGTTGTCAACACACGTGTTCGATTTTAAAAATTTCAACAGATAGGGGGAATAACGGTCGCGGATAGTTCACGGCATCTGCGCGCTACCCCCGCGTTCGCACCCCCTGCGCTTACGCACACTGCCGGTCGAATGACCGGAGGCATCATCTGGTGAAGCAGATCGTTATGGGATAACGTTACTGCATGCAATTTTGTTTTTGTAAAT